TGAATATTTAAATTTTTAAAAGTAATAAAAACTTGAGCAAAGTATCTGATAGTTTAAGAATTTAGCTTTAGAACCTATATAATGTAGTGTCTAGACTCAGGATCAACATAATCTATCCAATTTCGCTAAAAATCTGACCAATAAATTGTAGAAAGATAAACGATATATTTTATAGCAACCGAGCGTGGTGTCTTATGTTTCTAATAATTAATGAGAGTCCATAAATCCTTAATCACAATCGTCAAAGCTCATATATTTCTGTATTGTATTTCGCCAAAGAGGCAATAAAATGAAATAATGAATTCACATAACATTTTATGAATCCTAAACACTCAATAAATCCGACCGCGGGATATAAAAGCACCCACCGTGTATTAAATGTGCAATGCGTAGCTACAAATCTGTTAGAGGCGAAGTGAAACCGCGGTGAAACCCCTTTCAGTTGGGCGAAACGTTACCAGCTTTGAAAAACAACAATAACCCTCACCATACGTATGTATGAGGATACGCAATATACTTTAAAAGTACGCCCACCACAGACTACAGAAGCCGTAGACACGACTCTCATTGACAATATACAAAAGTTGAAGCGTGGTTATTTTTGTAGTAAGTATCTGTTGAAGAAATATTATTATGAAGCTTTATTGAGATACTTTCTGAATAACTTGATGTCGCATTAAAAGTTCTCCAATATTCAGCACCACCACACTTTTACTGAGTAGCTGGTGCAGCTCTTTATATCTGCGCACAAGTGTATCGTCTGATTTGCATACATCCTCGTCAGCGGACGCTTTGCGCATTTTATTAAGTCTACGCAACCCCCCTCTGTTTGAGAGCCACGCTATTTTCATGTTTCGGGACTACAAATGGGAACCCATTTAAATACTAAGCCTACATTTCAATACGATGCGATGTAAGTGTTTATTGTAAGATTGATGAATATTGCGAAGACGTCGTTATTAATTTGTCCATGCTATTGTAGGAGTTCGTCAAACTAATTACGAATAACTTTGTGTTTTGTTTTTGCTTAAATGTAAAGATTTTGTCTAATAAAAGAACTTAAGTAAATAAATACATCTCAATTTAAGTTTATCTTTACTCAGTACAAGGTAATTTTCTATGATATATGGAACTGAAAGATTTCGCAGTAAGTTTTTTTAATTGCTTCATTAAATCGCGCTTGTAATATCCATACATAGTAAGCTCAGCCTTTGTAGCTTTGTAAGAGTCGCTCAAAGGAGAGCCGGTGCGGCGACGGCCGGATCGTTCAGGCTTCTCTTTGAGCGTGTCACTTGAGGGGCTTGCATGATACAGACTCAATTGTACCAATACGCTTATTTGTTTGCCGTTGATCGACTACCGAGGGTGCCCCGCATTTAGAAATGCAATTTAGTGGTTTCTCCGCGTCGCTTGTTTTGGTATTATACATTTCCTATACATATGTAGAGTGTGTGTTATAAGTTCTCCAAAACATTTTTATCCAATTTATCAACTAACAAGATTAATAAATATATTTTTAAACAAAAAAGTCGTCCGTAATTTGGGTAGATGTGATAAAGACAACGGCAGCACGTCACCGTCAATTACATCAACAACTTTACTTTCTCCAAGTTGTCGCCCCCGAGATTGTATTTTAGATAATGGCTCGGTAATCACGTCGGTGATTTATCACGTTGCTATCTCAGCCTTCACTGTCCATTAAGCAATAGCGAGTGCAACCCTTTGTTGTGTACATACGGGGAAGTATCGCGTCTGCTCACGCGGCACAATGCGCGGTGACTCGTGCGGCGTACATCACTTGTTTTGACTTACAATCTGACTGAGTGAATGTACTACAACGTGCCGCAATATCTACACCGTTGTTGACTTGGGTTTATTCGTGAGCTTCAGTACACCACATTCAATAGTTTATTGCTTTTGACTGTGTGTATATGATTGTGCTGCTGTAACTTCGATCTAGAAGTAATAAATGGTATCTCAAAATTAGGTTAGGCTTAGCCAGGGTTTCAGGTGAAGCGCAATAATGTATCGCGTCCTTGCCCTGGAGCAGGAGAGCGATAGTTTTAGTCAGTAAGAAACTAACACTCCCTCTCACCCTACACAGTGTGTGAAAAGTCACAAAACAACTTTCCACCTTTAAAACAAGAATCATATGTTTCAAAGTGGATTACAAACATTGTAGGTATGCTATACAGTATCTACGGACAATACATCTCGATTCGCGCGATCAATATATTAAAAAGTCGGCCAGTACCGTCGGCTGTAGAGTGGCGTTCAACAAAGTTAGGGGTACAACAATTGACATGCATTAACGGTATTTCCGCTAGCGTTGGGCCACAACGTCGTTACCGCCCGGAAATTCAATCGAGTGCTGAAACGTTCAGCTTATATTAACTTGCTACAAACATTAAACTTAGTAAGCCGTGGACTTAATAAGTTTTCATTTGTATTAACTTCCAAATTATGTTCAAAAATATGGATCAAATATCGACCGTGAAGTGCCAAGACCTCCAAACTGATATTTTTGTAGTACATTTTTTATTAAGTCGCTTCGATGTTTTTTGGAGTGTAATTAATTAAAATCCAGAAATTTTGCTAAAAATTAAAAAAAATTAACGATAAACAGTGAGTCTCCACAAAAGATACAATTGAGAGGTATTGGCACTAACTACTCAATCAATATCAATATGGAATATTATTTTCCATATATAAGTACCGGATTTCAGTCTTGTTAATGTATACTTTGTACGTATACTTTAAATTAGGTTACTAACAAATAAAAATACTATACCAACACAACATGTAACTTTTTTCCAATGACTAATGTTGAAGAAAACAACGTGCATTGATTCGTATCGAACATTATTTGGTTTGTAGTAGTGTGTGAGGGTTGTTGTCGGGGAGAGTGCAAAATTGCACGCACACCAGCTTACAAGCTCTCGAAACGTGACGGAAGCAAGGAGTGCGAGCCGTCATGATCTCACAGCTGATCAATAAGTCTTGGCGAACTCAAATATTTGCACACCACGTACATTAGTAGGTGGAGGCGCCGACTAAACGACGAATGTCGATCAACTTTCCACAGAGTAGGCAATGAACAGAGTGATTTCTGTTAGAATTGGGTAGGTTCCTTGATCAAAAATAAATTACTTACTTCAACCTTTCAATACAATACAATATTGAAAAAGAAATCTACAGTCATAAACTATTTAGCGATCTGTCGATTCACAAAGTTTTCAATATTTTTTTGGCTAATTTTTAAGCAATAAGTAACCTATTTGACGCAAAAATATGTCATATATTTCATTTGGAGTTTCGTACAATTTTCATGGAAAAGTATCGTTTCTAACATTTGGATAAAAGTATTGAATTTGACTAGTTTGGAATTATTGTAGTCAATTATCGTAAACGGACGAAAGTTATTTTGTATTTTTGTATGTAACTAGCTGACCTGGCAAACTTCGTACACCATCAAATATACCTAATATTTTTATTAAGTCATATTTTCTGCCCTTCGTGTATATCCAGGAATATATTAAGACTACAAAAAGCAATGTTGTTCCAGCCTTATTCAAGTTTTTTTATATAATTTTAAGAAGATTTTAAACATACACAGCAACTTTAATCTACCTTATAAACACAATACATGTCATATTAAATTAATTATTACTACTATACATATATGACAAACTTCAAATGTAGATGTTCTGTATAGTTTCGTAACTTTGAATTTAGAAAACACGGAAGAATAGAGCTGGCGCCTCCCTGTCTACCCTCGGTTTGGTGCCAGACGACTGACTGACGCCTTTGTTTTAAACACACTCGCATTCTTACACTCTTTTTAAGTAGGGAAAACGGTTTACTAGTAGATATTTTACTGCTGGGAACTTTAGGTCAAAAAAATATTTGCTACCAGCACTAAATTTTACTTAAATTTTTTTCCCGTGTATTAAATGACAAGTTTTGATACCCGGGTTTTTTTAAAACACCTAATATTTTTTATAAAAATTAGACGAATCATTACGAATCGATTTTGTGAATTTTGAAATTAGGGACAGTCCATGAGTAATCCTACAAGACTTGCCTGATAAGAAAAAGTAAATCCAAATATAAAACAGTCAGTTTGCATCAGTATAAAATTAACATAACCCTTAATAAAGCTGATAGCAGTTGACGGACAGAAATAATTAACTCAGTGCAAGTCAGAGTACGTTCATTTGAATATAATGGTAGTATATTTGTACAGGAGTCTAATTTCAGTGTGTCCTTTGAAGTGGGATTAATACTGGCGGTAGGCACCGCCCCCGCCCCGTGCGGTCGCGTCCACGCACCAAATTAAATCTGTGTCCTTTCACAGAGGATTCTCATTACGACAATTTAGTTCCCGTAATGAGTATAAGTCAGAGGGATGATATAATACTTTTTTGATCCGCCTCTCGTAGCGGCCAGTGCTTGATTAAACTTTTTTAATTTGCTGCAAAGGATTTCCGATTCGATCTTTTTTTTTGTTCTTGTTCTATTTGTATTGTTTGCCGTTAAGGTTGAATTAAAAAAGATCTCTCTTCTTTTAATTACAGAAAAGAACATTAAAATATGAAGTTACTTATAAGTTATTCAACTGAAATTAATAAAAAACATCTGTATTAGCATGTATCTGTCTTCGTTTCTCAATTCAGTCGCTCTGGTCTTAAAGAACATTTCTTTGTGTTGTAGGCTGTGCTATGTTGCTGCGAGTTAAGTGAATTTTTGAGTGTTCCATAAACACTCAAAAATTCACTTTGATTGCAGTACATCCGAGACTGGTGTAAAATTATTCGGAGGATAAAGGATCAAGATAAAATTCCTTTCAAAATTTAACTTGCAACTTGTTCTAAATTCAATCACAAATACAGATGGCTAATCGATATAAAGAGATAGAAATCATAACAAATATAAATAATTTATAGCAGTGGCGGTTTATAAGATTTATTTGCGGATCTCGCGTCCCCTTGGCGCCGCGCCTAGCCGTCGGCGGGCGCCGCGCCGTCCCGACGGACAGACATCACGGCGGCACCCGATCTATCGATCTCCCGAGATGACGACACGATTAACTCGGCATAGTTTACTTTACCAATGGGGATGGCACTCATTTCTAATGCTCTTGTTATTCCAGCTAGCGACAAACGACTACAAGTCTGAAAATGTGTCAAGTTCTAGTCAATAAATACAAAACTATGATTACAACACCCCTTTACAACAAGAAAAAGTATTATTATGAGTTGAAAACTGTATTTACATCACTTTGGAACGTGAAACTAAAACTAACATTTTGTTCCAATATTTAACAATTTTTCCCTAACTACATCTAATACCCATCTATTACAAGTATTCCCTAACAAATCCATTCAGGTACTTTGTACAAAATATCATTAATTGGCCGTGTCCACCCGCATCAGCCGCAGTAAGCAATCCTCATTAAAATTTCATCCACAAGCCCTAAGGCGAGTACTTTGACGACCAATTAGTTAAGTAACATAACACTTTGACGTCAAACTGTATGGCGAAACTTTGACATGTTCAAAGGATTAATATTTGAATCATATTACAAGAACATTGTTTGGGAACAAAAATATATCCTGTTTGTAACACAATCAGGTATTGTGTACCTTCTAATGTATCTCTCTGTACATTGAATAAAACTTTTAATTGGGTGTGACAGGAAGCTTTTGCTTTTTTGTTTTGTGAAAATATTTTCCCTGAAGTAAAATTTTACGTATAATTGTACTTAGAGGTACTTTTTATTTGAATTCCGCAGTTCAATATGAAGTTTTTTTTACTATTTCAATTAATTTTGCCTCCATCTGATCATTATTCCACAAAAAACCTGCTTCTTTTTTATGTAACAATAAATTTCTAAACGTTAATCTCGCTAAAACTATAAAGCTTGTCTTGAAATTCTCGTGAGTAACCTGGTTCAAACGAAAAAAAATCTATTGAAAATATGCGTGTAAAACACGTCACTTTTTATATCTTTACCAACCGCTCTATAAGTGCTTTAATTGTATAAAATCGGTTAATTATTTTAATACCCGTGCAAAATAATAGTATATAGTAATTCATGCTGTGCTTCTCTATTAGTAATGGGTGAGACGAGAGTTTAGTTTGAAATGTACAAATATATGGTAATATTTTGAGACGTCTATAATAAATAAATAAATAAGTGAGATTAGATATTTGACAAGAAATGAAACAGACAATATTTAAACATTTTGAGCCGGTACGCCAGCTCAGCTAGTTTCTCATGTTTTATAAAATTCTACTTAAAGATCGACTAGGATCGTTCTTGTGTTACGAAATATGTTATTTACGTTCTTTGTAGTTCTTTCTAGTTGAAGATCGCACATAAATGTTAAAATTATAATAGAAATGAAACATTTATGCAAATTATATACAATTCGATTCGAATCTTTATATATACATGAGTAGGTTAGTTATCCTATGCTTAGTACTATTTCTTTCTCATCTCAAATAAATGAGTACCTTAAAATCAATTTAGGAAAGTATGAGACACAAATATCCCGGATAGTAAATCAACTGGGAAACGTAAGTATTGAGGAAATTATATTTCCGGAATACATTTTCCTGGTTCACTTATTTTTGGGCATCATGTCTATTTTATGATACAAGTAAGTCTAGCTATCCATAATATACACAGTAAAGATTGAAAAGTATCAATATGAGTATGACCACCTTCTAAACGTTTTTTTTCGAAGTTCTTGGCACCGGCCGCCATGCAACGTGTCGCTGGTTCGATTTCCACAAGGAACAATTCTTTGTGTGATCCTGATGTCCATCTGAATTTTTATATTTGTAAACGCACACAAAATACTGGTATAGATAAGTTAATAACAGAAAGAGTTCATATTTTTAATATTTAAATATCGAAAAGTGGTATTATTTTCGTGTCTTATCATCGTCATTGTACTCGTAATACAATCATGTATTATCATATATTTTGTGTAATCATTGGCGACCTCCATATTGAAGCAATAACTACAATGTACCTGAACTGAATCAATCTTTATATTCGTACCTGTATAAGTCTTTAGAACGAAATTATTAGAGAAATAATTATCATAGCTTGCTAAAAAATCAATAAGTTATTTTCAATGTCGCCATTAATGGCTTTTGTCCCCTGATATTTTGTTGAAAATTGCACAGTCAGTTTTGTCTTTATCAAAATAAAACAAAGTGAGCGGAGAGCAATTAATTTAGGGGTCCATTCTGCAGCAGCGGCCTCTGGCGGGCCAATCGAGTAATTGTCGCGCGCAATATTCAAATGGCGGAAACAATTAGCGTAAGTGCTGTACACGTATTTAGTTGTCTAGACCATTTAATGTCGCGTAGTGTCAGCAAAACAATACAGCACAACCAGACAAAAACGACACTTTTATCGAAATTACCAAAATTATAGTTTTCTACGAATTTTGTATGAGATTTTGGCTAGTGACCTAGTCATATGTTTGGATTCAATAGAATAGTTATATTTTTAAAATATTGAAATTCCTTAAATATCTTAAGAAAATGGAGGAAAACGAGCAGACAGACCATCTGATGGTAAATTAACAGCGCCGCCCATAGACACCTGCAACACCAGAGGAGTAACAGGCGCGTTACTGGACTTTTAAAAACGAGTACGCACGTTTCTAAATTGTTGACTAAAGTCTAAACGTAAAATATTTCTTCAGCATCATCATCAGCCTGATACCGAACACATATTTCTTATCACTCTATAGTTCATATTGATATAATACCAAATTTAAATGCATGTATAACGCATTACACAACTACCTTTTTCAGTAGGCCACTATGGAAAGTATTCCTTCAAATGAAGGTTTTTACTAGCAGTACTTATTTAAAAATTAGTACAATTTTCTTCTTACAAAATATTTACATACTTTATAAATATTTTCTGAATAAACATTAAATTATTGCGATAATTTCTCTCCTATCGCGAACTCTTCATCAGAATAATCTTTACTACTAATGACAGTCATTAAGCTTCCATAAAATTTGAAGCGTCCAATTAAAATATTAATCCTACCATTAAAAGGTACTCGTACAATCAAGCAGTGCACGGTACAATATACGTAAATGTTATTGAATAAAAAGTGACGGGTTCCTCCCCTTGTCAGCTCGTTCTAAATCTCTTTTGTGTTCTGCGATAACGCTACAAAGCCTGCTAATGTCTTTTAAGGACTTAGTGATTTAAACGGACTAAATAATGAACCGGCTACCCTTCCTCTCTGTCTGTAGCTTGCGATGCAATTTATGGGCTTAAAACCTTAGGGATACCTCTCGCCGATGTATGATGATTGTGTTTAAAGCGAGTGGTCATTTGTCAGTTGCATTTTTAAATTTATGTATTTTTTTGTGTAATGGTAACGAGCATAGGTAGGTGCGTATCATTTGATGGTAAACATGGAGGATTGGAGACTTAAGAAAGAAACGTTTTGAATATTGTAAATCTTCATGGAAATAGCGATAGTCTTATTTCATTGTTTTAAGTATCAAACATCCTTAATACCTATATAAAACCGACCGCATCGTCGCTTTCCATCAGGTGAGATAGCGGTCAAGCGCGAAACTATAATCGATAAAAAAAAAAAAATATCAAAACACTTTCAATGGAAATTCTAATGCCAAAAGCTCAAATGTTTTAAGACAACAAATTAATTTTAATACACATGTATTGTGTACTGAAGAGATTTGTGAACAAATCACCGTTACGATGTACTTATGTGCTCGCGGATACTTGGTTCCTTGCATCGGGAGCGAGAGCGTTCGCATGACGACACAAATCCGGATGATGTCTGTTTGTTATCAGCGCTGAGCACTCGACTGTACCTCTAGGGTTGCCACCAGCTAACGCAATAATCGCATTATTTATCGAATCCGGACCATTTGGTATTATGATCTGTGCAGAGGGAAGTTTGTTCCTATTTATGCTTAGAGATTGGGTTTATCGATTTTTTATCGTTTCATTAAGAAGCTTTGTTTTTAGGTACTTCCATTCATTATAATGCAATAATAAATATAAAAAATTACAATTTTAGTAACTTCTACTATATTTAGTTCTTTAGTAAACACAAACGTACAGCAATTAGACTCTATCAAACCTAAAAAAATATCTGAACTGAATGTATATTTTTTCCAATTAAATCAGAACTCCAATATTATGTCCATTGAAAGAGATATGGTTGTTATGACCCAACAAAAACAAAATATTCTCCAATTTCTCCCAAAATAGTTGTATAAACGCGACCCTACGTTCAAAGTCCTTGTTAGAGAATAGTCGGAGATTTCTCCGCCCTTATATTTCATTTTTTGCAACAAGAATTATCCGGCTGTCAATATTATCGGCGATCGTCTCACGGCTTCCAACAAAATTGCTTCGATTCCCGGCGCGTTGCCCAACCAACGATTGTTTCCTTTTGTTTATACTCAGTTTTTATCGACCTTTTCCAATATCGTCGTAGTCTTGAGATTTTGTAAAACTATCACATTTCTTTTTACTTTGTAGTGAATTTGGACTCTTTATAACTCTATATTTTATGTGAAATATAATATGGATTGTTATTTAAAGTATATTGACATTAAACTATTTTATCATTTTCCATTATTTGCAAACCTCGTTAAGATATTCATTATCGCAAATCATTCCAAGCTGCAATTTCAATATTAGATAAACCCGACGGATTAACATTATTTACACCACTGTTACCATTTTTTACGTCAAATGCGACATAATTAACGAACATAAATGTTTTGAATTTGCAATTTCTGCCAGCACTTTCGCCAGCATTGCTAGGGTAAAATGTGCCGCTACAGACTATAATTCATTTCTGTTCTAAATTTGATATTCAAAACCGTTCAATAGTTTTTATTTAAAAGTCTTACAAAATCCAGTCTTATACATCTATACTTAATAACTTTTAGGTTCATGTAGTAGGATTTTGCAAGCCACCGGTTGATTTAAAATTAAAGAGTATTCAATATCCTCGAGCATTGATTTGAATTTAATCCTTTTGTTTTAGTAGTTATTGTAATTCAGATCATTGGCATTATTGTTTTGTAATTCTATCAAGGTTTGCATTTCACCAGATACACTTCCGCATCACTCTACTGATTAACACTTATATTGCATAATTTCAATCTTAATATAATGAAATTTATACTAAGTTAAAACAATTCAAATAATTTTGAATGTTTTTCATTCCATTGCAAACAATAACATTTAATGAAATTTATAATTATTATCTTTTCTTCATCCGTCTTTTTGTATTTTTTGTTAAACTAGAAGGTAGTTCCAGGTCCAGCAGCTTTGCCCGAATCACCCGGATGATAAGTAGCCTAAGTGTGTGTAATTCCAAACGATAATCTATGTATATACCTGTGCCTATCCTCATAACATATATTTAGTAGCTTTTACGTGAAAGAAAATGAAATTATGAATGGATGGTCCGTTCGGACTTACACGTCGTTCGCGTTTATAATATTAGTAGGATAACTAGCACAGAAAGTAACAGTATCTAATAGTGATTGATATACATACAATAAGATTATGTAAAATTGCTTAATTTAGATTAATTTCCATCAACGAATTACGGTTGTATAAAGTAGATAAAATCGCTTCGTTTCTGAAACTTCATGCAACTAGTTTATATTCTATTGTTATGACTTCATAGAGTTAGCGAGCAAAAAAATTGGTTAACATTTCATCATTATTTCAATTTCTTTTCGATGGTACCATAACAATAGAAATTTGTAACAATCGGAGAACCACATTGAACAATCACTACTCAAATATTTTTTTTAAAGAAGCAAAAATAATGTCAATTAATTTATACCATGTAATACAATAATACATGTTTAATTATTGAAGCAGACATTTAATATTATTTAAAAAAAAAAAAAAATACACAGACCCAATTTTGATTCAAGAACTAAGTTAAAAATTAAGTTTTAAATCTAAGTAGCAATTTAAAGAATCTTAAATACTTACAAGTTGACCATTTGTTAGCAAACGTTTTCCGTTATAAGATGTTTTTTTTTCTTATCAATTAAAGAGGACTATTAAGAATTTTAAGAATTAAGAAGGTTAGATTTAAAAAATATTAACACTCAGGGCACTCTTTGAATGTTAGATAGTTACTTAGTATACATAAAGCTATATAAATCCAGGATCACTTTGTGCCTGCACAATTAAAATGCAAACTCTCCAAAACCTTACGTAGGAATACAGACGAAGACTAAAGTTAAGTAGACTGAACATCGACCTAGATTCAATTGGAAGACTGCCAGAAGATTAAAAAAAAATTGACCCTTTTGCCAAAAGGTTATTATATTAACGGTTTAAGTAATACATAAAATATTGTTGGTTACTAATTCTTTTCAAAACTGTTATGTAATAACAAAAGAACTGCAAAGAAATATCTCTTTCTCTTTTACAGATTGAGATTTTGTCACTATGTGGCACGTCCAGCGAGCAGACGGATTACCTGATGGTAAGCAATCAGTGCCGCCCATGGACACCCGCAACAACAAAGGAGTTTTGAAAGCGTTGCCGACCTTTTGGGGATTAAGGATTTAGAGATTTAGGGATTGAGAGAGGGGAAGGATTGGGCCGCCGGTAACGTCAATCACACGGCGAAACACAACGCTGTGGTTGTTTTACGCCCATTTTCTGTGAGATCCTGGTATCACTCCGGTCGAGCCGACCTATTCGTGCCGTAGCATGGCTTTCCCATAATTAATTTCGTCGAACGTTTAGGATGAAGTTAAAAGAAATTAGATTTTTAAACAATTTGATAACGAACTTGATTGCTTAACTTTCGTTCATTTCATCAGTCTTCTTGGTTCTTAGTTGCATGGCTTAATGATTTGTGTAAGAATTGCGAGAAGAACATAATAATTAATTTGCTTCAAAACACATCTTACATAAAATTATTACATTTTACAAAAGATTAGTAACGAAATATAGTAACATTGTTTCAGTCAGTTTTGCGTAGTCTGTTTTTGATTGTTTACTTGAGGTAAGTTATTTAATGGACTTATTGTTTTTTAAGATCTCATGTGACGGAATATAGGGATTTAGTGATCGTCAAGTTAATTTGTCCTGCTAATTATGATGATAGTACTTACTTGAACAGAAGGGGCTTGTTGGCAAAGAGCCCCGAGGCTTTCTCCTTCGCGGCATGGAGCCCCTGCATGGTGCCGATCCCACGTCCCACATCAAATGACACTCTTCACTAACACCTGTTAATAATACCATTTATTAATAACAAATTAATAATAATCATTTTATGAAACCTTAAATGGAAAATGTTGCTGCGTCTTGTAGATATTAAGATTTTAAACCATAATTATTTCTAGAATTCGAATCAGTACGATGAGTTGTTAAGAATATGGTATTTAAATTTAATAAATATTACTTTTAAAAGCAATTCTTTGATTTTCCTTTATTTTCTTGTTAGTTATACATTGATATACATTTTAAATCTATGTATGTAATTACGGCCTAACGCTTTTGTTTCAAAACTCAAAAATAGGTCAAGGAAAGACAAAAAAATTAATCCTCTTTTTTATTTCGTGAAATATTCATTTCAGTTAGCCATAAATCGAAATTGATCCGTTAGTGGAGTACAGTTAATTGATGTCAATAATTTAATTCAATCACTGTCATGTTACATAATCATCTAGTATGTACCTACTGGTGCCCTACCTATACATATGTACGTATCTACATATACTTCAGTAAGAACTAATGTACTTGTATGCAGTTATAACACATACAAAAAACACTCTATAGGTATAGCACATAAAGCATTTTCTGCAGAAGAATAATCTTTAGAAATACAATAATTAGTACTTACATTTTTCAGTTCCCTGGCGTAGCAGCTCCGCTGTAGCGTCTGTCGATCGTGTAGCTCCCCGCGCGCCTCTATGCTGTAGCGCTACGGCTGCGCGTAGCCCCGGCCGTCATTGGCCGCTACGTGTACGGACGTAGCTGAACTCCGACGAATCACAGCCGGTGCTGTAAAAGGGGCGGCGCTTGTCAGATTTCTGAAAATTTTCAGAAGGTCCCAAAATATATAGTATTGACGTCAAACCTAGGAATGTTATACTGAGAATGCAGCCATGCATAGTATGTAACCAGCAACCCACAGGCATGAGGCATTTCAGTGAAATCATTGCGTCACACTTTCGTTTGATAATAAATCGATACACTTTTTTATAATATTGATAATTCTTTATAATGTCGGCGTAGAATAACTAAAACTTTAAAGTAAGTTGTAAGTTATTCCGCCGTGAAACATTGAATCGTTGAAACATCCCCAACTGAAAACTAACTTATGTGGTAATTTTAAAAGAGACATTTACATCGCTGCTCGGGGTCGATAGCTCTTTAAAAACCACTTAGGTAATTATTTATAACGATATGGTTACAAATACTAAATAGAGTAAACGCATAAAAACATTATGAAAATTAGTTTGTCTCTTTTTGTAGCGTCGAATTAATAGTAAATCAAGTCACATATTAAACTATGCTATCATTATCAGTACGGGTTACGAATGTTTTACATTTTGTATTTTTAGAAAGGGTATGCCTATTATAATTAAATTTATATTTACTTTTAACATAGCTAAACATACAATAGACTGCTCTTTCATTTGGTTAATAAAATTATTCTTCCATTTTAAAATAATTTTAAATGTATGTAATTAAAAAGAGAATACCTATTGAGAAATATCAATATGGTACCCATACGCCTTTTGAAGCGACATATGTTTATTTAGTAATTATACATATATTATTTATATACATACATACATATAGTATTTGTATTTTGTATATGGTTATACAAATTATACGTTAAAAATAAATTAATAGAATCTAATACTTTAAAACTGACCAAAAAAACAAAGAAAATTACAAACATACTGCTGAGTTTTGCTTTTCGAACTAAAAGATTTTTTTAATCCATTCTCTAAATATTATTTATCAAAATGAAAGTGAAATTGATTTTAATTTCAAACTTTTCTTAAATTATTTCATATTAAAATAAGATACTTAGGTAGTAGTAGTAACATGTTCTTAGCCTTAATGAATTCAGGCAAACACAATTAAATTGGAAACAGTATTTTTTTATAAATTACTTACAGTTTAGAAATTTAGAAATCACATGTTTTGCCCGTATTTTTGTCGAATATTTTTCTATGCGATATTTAATTGTATCTATCGTATCTCGCAAAATTATCTAATAGCCAATCCAAAATATCTAAAACGTAATAATATGAAAAAACGTTAAACAGTCTTGAAGTCATTCAAGTCATTGACAAAATATGATAAAATGTCCCCAACATGTATTTATCTATTAATCTATATGTATCTATTTATCTCGAGTTCATTTGAGTAAATTCACTCTAATGCACGGGCGTAACTGGCGATGATGGGAGTATATTTAGCTCTATAGTTTGTATGTAATCGCCTTTTTATCATTAATCACGTTTTGATTTATCCGATCAAGAGTACTACAATTGTTTTCCCTAAAGAATCAAGGCTAAAATGTTTAGCAGATTCCCAAAAACTATACCAAAAAAGGAATTCCAACTAACATAAAAATAGGTTAGTTAGTTTATTTGTTACCACACCTGTTTGCGCTTTAATTTTAAAATCAAAATTGAATCACATCACCAGCCTATAAGCGCCTTCTGTAAAGGCCACTTTTCACACAGAGACGGTTTGATTGTTAATCACTAAGCTTGTTCAAGGCAGACTGGGGATGTCAAACTTATGATTAGAAATAACTATTGATTTCCTCTCGATGTTTTCCATCAACGGTTGTCTATATTAGTCTCTAAATAATCTACGAAAGTACAACTCGGTAAAAGTCATATTGATAGATAGCTGCCAGCATTGGAACCTTCGAAAGAAGCCTTTACCCCTCGGCCACCTCAACATTTTATGCAATTATAAAAAAAAACACAAATTTATTTCAGCTAACAGTAAGTTCTATTACAAACTTGCCGATGATACCTTTAAAAATAACCGATCGCATTAATATTTTTATAATTTTCATAGAAGAAATGTAAGTGTAAGTTGTGTAATCGTTTCAGTTACATGGGCCACAGCATTCGATATCGATATAACATGATCGCTATATCAAGCCGACTTCATTTCACGGACAGAGGAGCTCGCAAATGAAGTTTCCCCGGTCCACCGAACCCAAAGCTATGGGTCTCAACCACCATAATCGATCTAAGAGTGGATGCGGTAATATTTTGCCGATTGGGCGAAAATTTTCAAAAAAAATTTTTTTGGAAATAGCTCTGTAACTTTAGACTAGAACATAATTCTTTATTTACAATGAATGTAGGTACAAATTATTTGGTGTTACACAGTTTTAAGGTTCTTTGTACATTCTACCACAATTGGCATGCAAATTTACATTTAAAAAATTAAAACTGTACGTAGTTTTACGAAGAATTATACAATACAGTATCTTATATAGTTTTTTGCCTTTTATATGTCTACGTTTGCACGTCCAAACGAATCGATATAAGTTAGCATATACGTTATTTTTAATTTTTATTGTATTACTTTAAAATTAAAAAGTGTTAACCAAATTCTTCGCTAAGAAACATTAGTTCAACTTTGTAAAGACGATAGGATGTGAACGATAAATTTAACTGCGCTCACAGGGTTATAAAATGCTAGTCTTTTTACACTATAAACTATGTAGTTAAACGAAACACGATAAAGCAATAAGTCACTAGAGATTATTCATATCGTAATAAATTGTGAGAGTAGCGTGGCTCGTCCATTAAACTGTTCGTAGCTCCGGTTCATGATTCATATTGCTACGCTTGCTGAATACGCGTTTGAATCAAAATCTGTTCTACAGATCGCTACCGGGTTTTTAATAACTCCTTTAAGCCTTTGAAAAGGAAAAAAATGAGAGCTTAAATCTATCTTATATTTTTTATAGAGTAGAGAACAAAAATGTACTGAGATAAATGGTATGCAAGAAATTATATCGCAATAGACATGAACAGGTTATGTCATTAACAAAACGGCATATTAAACAAATTGGCTGTATATTTATTAAGGCTACAATTATACATGCCAGTATTGATCAGGCTAGGCCGTTAAAGAATGGCTTATTTAACTAATTGGCTGTATTATTTTAATTATAGACCATTGTTTGATACGTACACTACAAATATAAATTAAAGAGACCTACAAAAACGTGTTTAATACGTCACTGTGATTATTATTTGAATTAAATTTAGTATAGATTAAATGTCATTTACATCTGTATTTAGATGCAAATAAAATTTATAAATGATAGCAGTTATATAATCTTTAAAATTAGATAATATTGAAAATAATTTTTAAAGAAAGTAAATAAGTTTCAACTGATTTCTGGTGTCTTAAGAATTGTTGAGTTTGAATTATCATGACACCAAAAAGCCTAACAATCTGTAACTCATACCAAAGGTGGAACTATATATTTGTCTGTTTCAATATCAAAACAGTAGAACAGATATTAATTTGTTCAATTGTTTTGTCAAACATTTTTGCATAAACCATGAAAGTTCTGTAGGTATCAGTGAAAGTGCTAACTTTTGCTAACGAAGACTAATTCAAAACAGCAAAGTTAAAAAATCTGTGTCCTCAGTTTAGCGATGATATAAATTCTGCTTACGAAGCGGCACCACCCTCTTAGCTGACGATTAATGTATATTTTTATACCGTGAAACATCAAATTGGGGTGGGACGCAATTCATTTAAATAGTTATAAAACCGCTGAGTTAGCAACTTGATTACAAACAAAGTCAGATGACGTCAGATACAATATAAATAATTAATTATTATGTTTTCGGCTTACTCGGGTAATAATTTGACGAGATACTCGACTAGTTTCAAGCCATGCTAGAGTCCCATATTCATGAGCAACATTCCGCGATACGCGACGGGCCAGAAGTAGCAGCGCGACAGTCTAAACTAGGCGAGTATCTCGTCAAATTATTACGTGAGTAAGCCGAAAACATAATAATTAATTTGGAATGTCTCGCAAAAGTTATAAGAAAAAAAATGAAATAATGTTTAAATTAAATGAATTGGTAAGCATCTAGGCAAATATTTATTCAATTAATCAGTATAGAGTATTGTTACGACTCACTCATTTGTCTATGACTTTTAAGTCTGCCAGAGATGATTGTGGTATATCATCGGTTTAGGTAGTTAACTA